TCGTCTACCGTCCTATGTCTTCGTCGACGTTCTCGAAGGCCTATGTCCCCGGTCCTGAATTTGACCTTAAGCTTTGTTCCTGCATCCACTGGTCCATGCAGGTAATCCTTGAACCCTATTCCTTCCTTCAACATTCCGCACACTTCTAGACCCTCCTTATCCTTGGATTCTTTCCTCAGATTCTGTTCTTCTCTCTCGGCACAAGCAACAGATATCTTCTCCTTGAACCCCTGTAGACCCTCCGTTTCCAGCGTTTCATCTTCGTCGATGTCGAGCCCCTTCCATACGTCCTCTACAACCTTGACCCATTCCGTGGGTTGTCTACCCCTCTTTTTGTTTGCCCACTTCGCCTCCCATACAATTCTCGGCAACCTCTCCTCTCCCATCCCGCACATGCGATACTGCCAGGTCAGCTTCCTCGCGTCTCTTCCCGACCGTAGGGATTGGATCCCCAATTCTGCCCTCACGGCTGCATTACTTGTGCGCCTGGAGCATCCTAGGATGGTTTTCGCTGCTTTCATCTGCGCCGCCTCGAGTTCTTTCACTACCTTCTTATTTCCTTCCCATACTTCTCCGGCGTAGTCTAGCGGCGGTACGATTACGCTTTTCAAAACCGTCAATTTGATGCGTGCAGCGAGGAGCCGGTTTTCGAGTATTGGGTACAGCTTCCCTGCTCGTGGTTTGCCCTTTTCCGCTACCTTGGACATGTGTGCATTCCACGAGCAGTCTTTTGCGATCTCTACTCCGAGGTATGTGTACTGGTCCACTACTGCAATCTCCTCGATCCCCCACTTCCATCTATGTTCTACTGGTTCCTCCTTGTTCTCGTTGCAAACCATGACGGCACTCTTCTGAACGTTGGCAGACAATCTCCACTTATCAGTAAACTTCTTCGCCGCGTCAATTTGCAGTTGCAGTCCCTCAGGGGTGTCCGACATACCGACAAAATCATCCGCAAACAGCATTCCTGAAACCGACGTTTCCGTGTCCCCTACTTTTACTCCCTTCCGGACTGCCTCTACGACTTCCAACAGATCGTTGATGAACACCTGGAACAATGTTGGGGACAGCGTGCAACCTTGTGGGACCCCCTGCTCAATGTCGAAGAATTTTGACAGTTCTCCGTCTAGCATGACCGCGCTTTTCGTACACTCTGTCATCTTCTTCAGCACTCTCCACATTTTCCCCTTGATCCCGTATTTGGACAGTTGTTTCCACAACCCATTTCTCCATACGGTGTCGTATGCCTTTTTCACGTCCAGGAAGAAGCAGTACGTCGGCTTTCCCGCCCTCTTTCTACCTTGGATGATTCTCCCTACCGTGAACACGTGGTCTACGCACCCCCTCTTCTTGCGGAAACCTGCCTGGCCCTCACTAATGCTATGTTCCTTCTCCAATACTCCCACTATCCTATCGTTCAGCAGCTTACAGAACACTTTTCTACTGCGTTCAACAGTGTGATCCCCCTGTAGTTTCCTGGGTCAGTCTTTTCTTCCTTTGTTAAACAAGTTCACAACCACTCCTTCCCTCCATCTACTTGGGGTCTACTCGTTTTTCCACACCCAATTGTACAGCAGTACCATCAGCTGGATCATCCCCTTCCCCCCAAACTTCATGAACTCGTTGACTATCCCATCCGCTCCTGCTGCTTTGTGGCACTTCAGCTTGTTCACACACGCCTCAACCTCGTCCTCAGTGAACTCCTTTTCTAGTTCTACGTTCCCAACGCCTGCCTTCGATGTCTCTTCTTCGTTTTGGGCCCATGCGTCCACCTCCTTCTTAAACAGTTGTCAAAAGCTTCATTCTTCGAGGGCACTCCAAGTTTCTTGTAGTGTCCCACTACATCTAGATCGCTTTGTTCTACTTGGCCCACTATCTCCAACTGCTTGCGCTCACTCCTTGTGAACCCGCACACGTTACACGACCCAAATCTCAGCTTGTGCTTTTCCCTATTGGAGGTTTCGCGCACTCTATCGTTCGCCTTCCGCTTCTTCTCGGCGTTTTTCTGACTTGCCTGCTCACCTCCCCCTCTCGGTCCTTTCTTCGCATCCATTGCCCTCGCCTCTTGTCTCCTTACCGTCTCTGTTTCTATCATGTTCGCGATGGAAACCCTCCATCCAAACTTTCTTACGTAGTTCGACAGCTTCTCGATGTCAACCCCCAAGCACTCTTGGCTGTCTCCCTTGGTCAATTACACCCGGAAGTATTCATGCACTCTGCCTACTTGTCCCCTTGCTAGGCAGTGCAGTCCCTCCCTGTGACAGCTGTTCTTGAACTCTATCCTCGTCATGTTTCCCTTCCCACTGCTGACTAATCCACCGTTCACACCTCGCAAAGTTGCTACCCCTGTATCCCCCCCGCGGCGGTCTATTTTACCATTCCACTAATCCCTTCCCACATCTGCTTGACGTT